AAAAAAAAGAAAAAAAAACACTTTCAAGACAGTCTTTCATGCTAGTCTGGTTCCTGTCCTTGATGTTTGGTTAAGATATTGTCATACGATTTGTTATTGAGATTTGGGATGGAGATCTACTTAAAAACCTATATGATAACGTTGTTCTTGTAAATTACTTTATATCAAGCATACAATAAAAAAGTCAGAATTTGACATTATAATTCCAACTTGAGGTATATAGATCGATAATTTTGGCAAGTGGAAATGACGTTTTAATCAAAGTCGTCTGGTGGAATATTATATTAACAATGAGATGGTCTCAGTTTGATGACTGTATATGAATGGTACGGTAAGTATAATTAGGTTGACCTTTCAATTAACTTATTTGTATCAACATGTCGAAAAGATTGATATTGCCAAACACCAAAATAGCAGCGATGATATATGCCAAATATGACCGAAAAAACTTCCAGCTAGTTACAGAGTTCTAAACCTTTATGTTGTACATGTTTTACATCATGATAAAAGACTGAGTTTCAATACTGAATTACACGAAATGGCAGAAATGATAAGTGGCACGAAAACAAAACCTCCAGCTAGTTACAGAGTTCTAAACTTTTATGTTGAACATCATGGTATGAGGCTGAGTTTCATTATTGAACTACACATACTAGAAGATATAACGAAGTATGACGTCAGCGTTTTTCAAAAACCAGCAAAACCGTCTCCATAAAATTTTTGTGTTCAAACCCCCTTTGATGTCTGCGAAAAAATCCGAACAACTCTTGAATTTCGGATGGATGGAAGACGGACCTGGGAAACACCCTAATAAGTATGCCAAGAAAGTGAATGGTGTTTGTATTAAAAGTAAGTTTGCTAATAAGAAATGTAGATCACTTCCTCTTCAAATATTAACATGAAAAATAAAGTTTCAAGGTCAATGATTTTACTATTTGATATCTATTCTCACGAGTGTAATAGCCATAATTATAAAATACAGTTCATTGACTTTTCAGAAAATAATTTAGTACCGTATTGTTCTATAGAGACTACATGTTAACATCACTTTAATTTACCATTAATATTCATACATATATCTAACATTCTAATAACATTATGCTTAAATCTTTTAACACTGAAGCTAAGTATAAAGATTATAGTGAAACATTCTATTGATATTCATAGAGTGTATGCTCAAGTTCAAAATAAATAGATGAAAAAAATAAAGAGACTTCATGAATTATCCATGACTGTAAAAAGCAATCCATAACGTTTTTATGTAAAAAAAAACAGATCTCTATACTATATATAATGCTATATTTTGCCAGTGACCTGTAACATGAATTCGAAGGCTATACTATGTACTTTTAGTTATTTTGCTATTGTCATCTGAAAATTGTTACATTTTTCCAGAATGACCTGTAACTTGTTATATTTTGTCAGCGTGACATGTAACATGAAATACGAAGACTATATACTATATAAATTGTCATATTATGCAAGTCTGATATGTAACAGGTTATATTTTGACAGTGTGCATTGAAACATGTCAAATTATGCCATTATGACCTTAAACATATTATATTTTGACAGTGTGGCTTGGAATTTGTTTCATTATGCCATTATGACCTATCATATGTTATATTTTGCAAGTGTGACCTGTAACATGTTATATTTTGCCAGTGTAACCTGTAACATGTTATATTTTGCCAGTGTGACCTGTAACATGTTATATTTTACCAGTGTAACCTGTAACATGTTATATTTTACCAGTGTAACCTGTAACATGTTATATTTTGCAAGTGTGACCTGTAACATGTTATATTTTGCAAGCAAGTGTGACCTGTAACATGTTATATTTTGACAGTGTGACCTGTAACATGTTATATTTTAACAGTGTGATCTGTAACTTGTTATATTTTGCCAGTGTGACCTGTAACATGTTATGTTTTATCAGTGTGACCTGTAACATGTTATATTTTGCAAGTGTGACCTGTAACATGTTATATTTTGCAACTGTGACCTGTAACATGTTATATTTTGCAAGTGTGACCTGTAACATGTTATATAACTTGCAAGTGTGACCTGTAACATGTTATATTTTGACAGTGTGCCCACTGTGACCTGTAGCATGTTATATTTTGTCAGTGTGACTTGTAACATGTTATATTATGTCAGTGTGACCTGTTACATGTTATATTTTGTAAGTGTGACCTGTAACATGTTATATTTTGCCAGTGTGACCTGTAACATGTTATATTTTGTCAGTGTGACCTGTAACATGTTATATTTTGTCAGTGTGACCTGTAACAAATTATATTTTGCCAGTGTGACCTGTTACATGTTATGTAATGGTACGTTATAGTATTACTATCTCACTCTAACCTTACCTCAAAGTAAGCATTCAAAGCTTGATTTTGTGGAAATTAATATTTTCCGGCAATTCTGTATAGTATGTATAGTATATATTTTGCCAGTGTGACCCGTTAAGACATGTTATATTTTGCCAGTGTGACCGGTTAAATGTAATACTTAGCCGTTGTGATCTGTAACATGTTATATTTTTCCAGTGTGACCTGTAACATGTAATATTTTGCCAGTATAACCTGTTACATGTTATAATTTGTCGTTGTGATCTATAACATGTTATATTTTGCCAGAGTAACCTATTACATGTTATACTTTGCCAGTGTGACATGTAACATGTTATATTTTGCCAGTGTGACCTGGAACATGTAATATTTTGTCAGTCAGACCTGTAACATGCTATATTTTGCCAGTGAGACATGTTACATGTCATACTTTGTCAGTGTAACCTGTTACATATTACATGTTTTACTTTGCCGTTATGATCAGTAACATGTTATATTTTGCCATTGTGACCTGTTACATGATATATTTTGCCAGTGTGACCTGTTACTTGTTATATTTTGGCAGTGATACATGTTACATGTTATATTTTGCCATTGTGACCTGTTGCATGTGATATTTTGGCAGTGTGACCTGTAACATGTTATATATTGCCAGTGTGACCTGTTACATGTTATATTTTGGCAGTGTGATCTGTTACATATGATATTTTGGCAGTGATACATGTTACATGTTATATTTTGCCAGTGTGACTTGTTGCATGTGATATTTTGGCAGTGTGATCTGTTACATGTTATATTTTGCCATAGTGACCTGTAACATGTTATATATTGCCAGTGTGACCTGTTACATGTTATATTTTGGCAGTGATACATGTTACATGTTATATTTTGTCAGTGTGACCTGTAACATGTTATATTTTGGCAGTGATACATGTTAAATGTTATATAAAGGTACTTAATAGTATCACACTCTTACCTAAAATCATAATTTCTGAACAGTTATATAATCCGGCAGTTTAAATAGTATGCAATTACCTTGGGCGAATCATTCTGACATCCATTTGCCCAAACCTAGACTCAATAGCAAAATTCCAACCATTACTTGTAAGGAACGTCATAAAGCGATACATTATAAATTCATTTTTCCGAACCAGTTCATTTTCGGAAGCATAAGACAGAAAAGTATAAGCTGGTCATGGCTTCAAAGGAGGAATTACGACTTCTTTTTAAAGACCGGTCAAGTCATTTATGTTTAATATTTCTGGTCTGGGCCAATAATGCTTTCCTATATGAATTTCCCAGAGCAAATCTACCATGACCAAGACATGTACTGCCATTTATTTGTTAATAGCATTGTTCGGTCAAAGTTTGTCATGGAAAATTACATCTTTAGACTGTTGATTTATAAAAGCCTACATCATGCAATCAACGACATGAATTGGATTAAAACTCATAATGTATAAACATTTCAGAAGATTGACATCAGTTATATAAAGCAACGAATAGACTTAGCTTTATACGTCTTTTATGAGACCAGAGATCTCCTTTTTTTTTGCATTAAAATTACAAAATGTTTTTTTGAAAACAATGTTTTGCCAATTTGAAAGTTTGATTCCGGTAGAATGCACACGATTTCTTTTCTGTTATATATAGATAATTCGTCTCTCGTGCTGTGTACAGTTTCCAGCGTGCTCTTAGATTTTTACAATTTTTGAAATGACTTCTCTTATATATACTACCTTTTTCTCGCTATTTGCAAGTTTATGTTTATTGTTGTCCTACTAATACGACAGTTCACCCATTATCTAACAGCCCGTGGTTGTCTAGATTTTTGTACTGTGTCTGTATGTTGTCCTACTAATACGACAGTTCACCCATTATCTAACAGCCCATGGTTGTCTAGATTTTTGTACTGTTTCTGTATTTTACAGTGAGTTGTCGGACAACTTTTGACATTATTGGTAAAATGTCCCTTTCTTGTCCGATATAATTCATATTGTTTTGTAAATTACCTCGCAGGTGTGTTCTTTTTCGCCTTTCACTTAGGAAGCGAATCAAAATTGAATGTAAGTGGTTCCAGGCGAAAACATTGCGGAATGTCTTCAATATATAATGCATAGATGCAGCGTGATCAATATCTTGCGAATAACTCCACTCAAACCGATGCTATAGGAGCCGTACGTCTTAAGCTTGCAGTGAGGTGAGGGGATTTAAGTCATGTTGACGGTCTCGATCAATGTGACTTTAAGATGAAGAACAGCAATTAAACTGCTGTTGCTTTGTTTTTGAATTTTCCATGTGCGTACAGTGATTTCTGGTCAATAATTGATATATTATATCCTTTCTTTTCTATTTTATAATATTTTGCTTCTGATATGTTATAAAAAATATATTGACTGAACTGCAAATAATGATGCTGAATTAAAAAAGCTTATATTCTCTATACTTGACATTAAAACGCATTATTCTAGTGTTTACAAACATTCGAAAATATCAATCAAACCCACGATAACAGTTAATTATTAATCTCAATACAAAACACAAAATCAATATCTACTTTCATAATCCAATTACACTGTGCTGACACAATAAAATTTTAACAGAATTTCTTGTAGAACGAAAGTATTAATTGTTTTTACGTTACATTAGAGTTTGTTAACACAGAATAATGGAGTTTTATAAAAGCCAATCAAAGATGAAGATGATACGACAATAAATTATATTCTTTGAGAAAAAAAAAATATCAATAAAATCATAAATATCAACGGTTCAATTGGATATAATGAGAATACAAGACTTTATCAAGCATTTATTGTCAAGTATTGATCTTAGTGTTGCCAATATACTCCCCTCTAGTGATAGGAATCCGTTAGTTAGTTATGTATATATTTGAAAACAATTGTCTCTAATTTTTAGGAATTAACCTTTGTATTGAAAACACATGCGCAGAAGTAATGTAGTGAGAGAAGAAATGGACAGGCTCGTAACGTGTTATTGGTTGGATACAGATACAATTTCTATTTGATATTTTGTTTGAAGGATAAGAAATAATTGATGAGATACGTAAAAGATATTATATTTGAAATGACACACTGCTATAACATCTGTAGTATACAACACGGAATAAAGATTTAATATAATGGAATAATGGAATATTAAAGGGAAAATTTCACCAGAACACAGACCTGTAAAAACTACAGTAGATTCAAACGTTGCATTTTATTTCAAGGATAAAGCAGTTGAACTATGATGAGTTAGTTGATTAAATTTATTGGGAGTTGTTTGATGAGTGTTATGAGTTCAGTGGTTGAAGATCCTGGAATTCCTCTCGTTGGAATGAACGGGAATCACGTTCATTATAAGACATTAAACGAGTCTACAGATAGTGTGACTCCAAAAGTTCCAGGTCGATTTGAAACGGTGGGTAGCCGTCTTGCGAAGAGGAAAGAATTATATTATCGTCGCAAACGCGCAAATGATGCTGCTCTGGGTTTTGCAATAGCTGGGATATTTTTAATGATTATAGAAACTGAATTAACGCATGCTGAAGTATTTACAAGGAGAGAACTTCCATCTTATCTAATCAAAATGATGGTAACTGCCTCGACAGTTGCGCTTTTGATATTTCTCGGAATTTATCATAGACTTGATATCAAACTTTTCATCGTAGATAACAGCGTCGATGACTGGAAAATTGCAATGAGTCCAAGACGAGTTGTAAAAATCGTTGTAGAATTCTGTACATGTATTATACATCCAATACCTGGTGATTTTACGATATGGTGGGAACGTACTGTTTCTCAAGGGGAGATAAGTCGTACAGACGACGTACCACTAGACGTTGTTTTGTCTCTACCAATGTTTTTACGTTTATACTTGGTATGTCGGACAGTGATGTTACATAGTCGTCTTTATCAAGATGCGTCATCTCAAAGTTTAGGAGCTTTAAATCGGATTCATTTTAATTTCAGGTTTATATTTAAGTCTTTCATGGCCGTACATCCAACCTATCTTTTGACTTTGATCATTGTATGTATGTTCTTTGTAGCTAGTTGGTGTTTACGTTTATGTGAGATGTATGATAGTTCTCCCGATGAAGCAGTTCACGCGAACTACCTAAATTCGATGTGGCTAGTAGCTATAACATTCCTGTCTGTTGGATACGGGGATATTGTCCCAAGCACCTACTGCGGAAGAGGAATAGCAGTAACTACAGGAATATTCGGAGCTGGAGTTACCGCACTTGTTGTGGCGGTTCTTGCAAGAAAACTTGAACTGTCAAGGTCCGAAAAATATGTACATGATTTTGTTATTGATGTCGATTTGGATAAACGTCTAAAAAACGAAGCAGCGAATGTAATGAGGTCTGGATGGTTCATTTATAAATATAGACGAATCAAACAAAACTCATCCAATAGTTTAAATTACCAAAGAAAGTTACTAGAGGCGATATACAACATTCGGGAAATAAAAGCCGCACAAAGACGATTAGTCGATTCTTCTACGACACTAGTGGAACTTTATAAATCTCACTCCGAAATGGCAAGGTCAGTCGAAAATGTAAAAGTAAGACAAGGAATTTTAGACGACAAAATGGACAACTTAGAATCAAAGATACTTTCCATTCATGAAAAACTAAATGCTATCCATACAGCCGTAACCCAGAAACAAAAATAACATAATGAATAAATACACTGATAAACACCGCTTACAATTTGGCAGGGAATTTTAATGCTTACAAAATTGTTAGAAGTTACAAAAATAAACAGTCTGAGTTAACATATTCAATAAATCATTTTACGGTTCGTATGATTTTTATCTCATTAATACAAAAACGATTGCGTTTTGAAGATTCGCACAAATTTACCTTAAAACAGACAAATAGTTTCTTCCTATTTTACACACAGGTTTTGGTTTTCCATATCTGCCTGTAATAATGTGTTGATTATTGATTGATTGACTGTTGGTGTTTAACGCCACTTTAAGCACTATTGGCTATATCGTGGCGGTCAGTTTTTATTGGTGGAGGAAGTTGGAGTACCCATATAGAACAAACAACCTTCGGTAAGAAAACTGACAATCCTAGTCATTAAGATTGGAGTCGAACGGACCTGCCATGTGCGGGGTTCGAACTCACAAAGTCCGTGTTGACAGACATGTTGATTACATGGCTAGTATACTACAAATCTTTAATGTCCTATCTTGTTCATAAAATATTTCGATAAGGATTTTTTTTTAAATACTAACATATCTCCAAACCTTTAACCGGAAAGCTGATTTGAATCTCAAATCTTTTTCTTATAATATATTCATATATAACTAACATCATATCATTTTATGATAATGATCGTTGGCGTGGTAATTTTTCTGAACCTTTTTATTTTGCAAATTTCGAAATTTAAAAAACAAAAATAACTGAAATGCACCACATACCATTCTAAAATCTCTACTGGTTCATATATTTACTACAACATAACTATAACATAACTATTACTACAAGTAAGAGCCAATCGAAGGAGATTGTGTATGTTATTTTAAGCTAATTTATCTATTCATGTGCAAATATCAATTAACAGAATTAAAATCATTCACGATACTTGAATTCAAACAGTAAATGAATTATATCCAGAAAATAGAAAAAATGTTTAAAAATTGAGTTTTCTGTATCATATGTCATGCGAGACATTTTAATCCCATTTGTTGATTTTGGAAATGGAGTAACGTCGATATAGGCCAGTACACAAATTAAATTTATCGAATGTTAACATTAAAACAACGAAAAACAAATCATTCAGTTGTCGGGTATAGATGATGCGGAACACAATTATCTAATGTCGGTTGATTTTCATGACAACTATTTGTTAAAATACCATTGATTGAATTGAAACCGTCAAATGTACTTTTTCATTAATAAAATTGAAGTGCTTGTAAATTCAGTTGTTACATAAAAGTGTTTGATGAAATTAAACAATTTATTTCTACAGAATCTTATAATACTGTCAAATGATGGCTCAAGATTTTCTGAAGTATTTAAATTATCTCAGGATTTAGCAAGAACTTTTTCTGGTTTCTACTAGCAACAGATCAGGAAGTGTTGTGACATAGAATATAATAATTTACTGTAAACCTGATTATACTTAGATTTCACTGACATTTAGGACAGTGTTGAATAATTTAAATCTACAACTTATAAAATCGTTATGATATTTCCGAACAATTTCCCAATAAAACTTTCCCAATAAAGCTGAAAATCATTCAAGATATCAGACAGTATTTTACGTTTCACTGAAATTTTTTAAAGGTCTTACACATCAAGCGTAAAATGAAAATCAATGTTAAGAAAGATAAATTTGTTTGACAACGTTTAAGATATTTATTGATCATGTTCATACGGGTGATTTGTGTGTGTGTTTGTAGTTGTATAAACGATTAAGACACTCGACTTTTTGTTTCTTAATTTAGAATAGACTATTGATGATTTTTAGTTATATTTTCGAAACACTTTTCTTCGTTAGTTCTGTTTTCAAGTATGAGCTTGGGTTATATGTGGAACAACAGATTTGAAACACATTCTGTTAGATTACTTATATATCTTTATTCTAAATGAACTATGCATAGCTATAGATAAGACATGTATGTACAATAAAATAAATTCTTAAACATAAAAAAGAAGCGGAGGGTACCAAGGAACGTAGAAAACTCATATAAGTCGTACAAAAACTCATATAATTGGTACAAAAACTCATATAAGTCGTACAAAAACTCATATAAGTCGTAGAAAAACTCATATAAGTGGTACAACAACTCATATAAGTCGAACAACAACTCATATAAGTCGTACAAAAACTCATATAAGTCGTACAAAAACTCATATAAGTGATACAAAAACTCATATAAGTCGTACAACAACTCATATAAGTCGTACAAAAACTCATATAAGTCGTACTAAAACTCATATAAGTCGTACAAAAACTCATATAAGTGGTACAAAAACTCATATAAGTGGTACAACAACTCATATAAGTCGTACAAAAATTCATATAAGTCGTACAAAACCTCATATAAGTCGTACAAAAACTTACAACGCCATGACTAAAAACCCGAAAAATTCCAAAGGGACAAAAATGTACAAAATACAACATAGAAAACTCATATAGGTCGTAGAAAAACTAACAACGCCATGTCTAAAAAAAACAAAAGATTACGAATAGACAAACGTCTGCAAAATACTACATAGAAAACTAATACAAGTCGTAGAAAAACTTACAACGCCATGGCTAAAAACCCGAAAAAAAAATACAAAAGGACAAAAATGTACAAAATACTATATAGAAAACTCATATAAGCCGTAGAAAAACTTACAACGCCATGGCAAACACAAAACACCCGAAAAATTACAAATCGACAAAAGTCTACAAAATACTACATAGAAAACCCATATAAGTCGTAGAAAAACTAACAACGCCAACGAACTCCACTTAGTCATGAACAAGTTAAGTGCTGGTCTTTAGTTTTGTCTTTGTGTTTTTAATCCATCACTCGATAATGTACCTGATCCAAGTCAGAAACAATGTAAGCTGTTGTCTTTAGTTTTGGCTTAAGTGTTTTGTCTGTTTTTTAGCGAATAAACTATTGACGGCAGATGGTTGGTAATCTATTTTGCTTTTGGTTTTTTTTAATGCACGCAAACCGATTTGGTGTCATGAATTGTTTTGATACCATAAATCTGAAAATGCTGCATTTTTCTAATTTGAACTGTATGAACGATAGGCATCATATCGCAAAAGTCTTGCATTTTACCCGATATTGACACTCAAACAAGAATTCAACTACCATTTTAGACCACGAACAAAGTCTGACGCTAAAAATAACCTGACACAGATTGTAGCGTTAACATGCGCACTATTAATACATGCAGCAAGACGGGAAAAAACTAAACACAAATCGCAGTCTGGTTGCCTAATATAAAGAAAATTGTTGGATGTCTTCATAAGTGAAACATCATTATTTTTAATATTCGTGAAATAAAAAACGTAACATGAATACAGATCATTAAATATTTATCCCATTAATTGAGTCGTCCTGACCAAACATGCATGAAATATTTGCCACTGGACGTTAAGCAACCAACAATCAATCAATCATAAATTGAGCGGGAAATCCATATCATACATCTGGTTGTTCGTTATAAATATTTTTAAATACATGATATATGAACGGTTTAGAATTTGAAAGTCCATTTTAGGTGTCAGACCACCAATTCGACCACTTTAGAACATATGTAAAAGTAGCCCTCCCCTGACAAATATAGTGCTTTTGATGTCACTGTTTACTTAAACTAACAAACAAATTTGCAGGAATGAAATTTTTGGTAAAAGAAAAATATATGTAGACCAATTTTGAGCCAAGTCAGGAGCGTCTGACCTTTGTTAGTCTTGTATCATTTTTAATTTTAGTTTCTTGTGTATAATTTGGAGTTTAGTATGACGTCCATTATCACTGAACTAGTATACATATTTGTTTAGGGACCAGCTGAAGGACGCCTCCGGGTGCGGGAGTTTCCCGCTGCATTGAAGACCCATTGGTGGCCTTCGGCTGTTGTCTGCTCTATGGTCGGGTTGTTGTCTCTTTGACACATTCCCCATTTCCATTCTCAATTTTATTGTCCATGAGTTTGCATTAAACATTGAGGATTAATGCCGTCTATAGTACACTTATTTAAGATTTCCAGAAAACCAGGGGTTATTTTTAGTAGTACTTGACTTCCGAACCGTAGTAGTTCACTACAAGACTTTAAACATTGGTTGTGAAAATAAGTATGTAGAAATGTAATACAATAAAGGATATACCAGGTTTCCATGAAGTTAAACTTAAGGGTGAAGGTTTGGTACCATTAAAACGTTCAAACCCGCAGCAAATGTTTGCACCTGTCCTAAGTCAGGAATCTGATGTTCAGTAGTTGTCGTTTGTTGATGTGGTTCATAAGTGTTTCTTGTATCTCGTTTTTATATAGATTAGACCGTTGGTTTTCCCGTTTGAATAGTTTTACACTAGTAATTTTTGGGGCCCTTTATAGCTTGCTGTTCGGTGTGGGCCAAGGCTCCGTGTTGAAGACCGTACATTGACCAATAATGGTTTACTTTTATAAATTTTGACTTGGATGGAGAGTTGTCTCATTGGCACTCATACCACATCTTCTTATATCTATTAAGGTAAAATATTAAGAAAGCTGTGAAAATTGCATAATTTGGTAGAATAGATTGGGATTTTGAATTGGTGATCTGACACCTCTTACTGGGGGGCGACAAATGTGGAAACAAAATGCGTACATTTTAGCGATATGCTTTACGACGAGTTTTTTTGTTAACGACCTTGACTACCCATGCGGGTCTTGCACGGTCGGTGAATATGATATGCTATATTTTTTGCTCTTAGCACTAGAATAGAATCTGTATTTAACACTTTACTGCAAGTGAAATGTTTGTACCAAATGTTGTTAACACGTAAAAAATAATTATTTACGTTTTAGTTTTAGTTTTAAGAACATTGAATCCTAATGATTTATAAAGTTAATGGAAATATGATCGTTGAGATGGGGAAATATTAAGCAATCTAAAGTGCTTCTTCACTTAATAGAAAGTAATATGTCTGAAATGTTTCAACAATTCTTGCAATAATGGTTTATCTGTCACTTCGACTATTCTTCATGTAAAGCCATTATGGATAAACACACATTACAGTTCTCATATGTACCTGTATTTGTTTATTTGTTATTGTTTGAATTAAGTCAAATGACAAATACTTC